GGTGCGAAGGGAGTTATCAAAAAAGTTAATCCAGCTGGGTCTGCGATTGATTTAAGAGAAAATATACTCATACATATAAAAATACTTACTTATATAACTATACTATACATACATACATCATACATAGCAGTAATTACATAGCCCTGGCCGTACTAAGCTTGGATCTCAAAAACATCGCTTATCCGCCCATTTTCCACTCGTGGAATAATTGGAATCAAATTCCTACAGCTTAAGCTGTGCGTTGATTACCTATCAGTTAACTGTCAGTTAGGAAATGCTGCTTTTTATATATTATTGAATTTTATTTTGTGCTTTTGGCTTAAGTTCATAACCCAAACATCTATTAATTATTTCAAGTAAACTCAAGGTTTCTATGTTTAAAGCGAAAATTTTATGGGATATTGTCAAAAATTATGTCTATTTATTATAAAGTAAAGTAATACAATGTTCAATTTAAGGATGCTTGTAAGGATAATGCTTGTTAATTTAACTTTCAACAGTTCGTACCACATTTTTCCAATCAAAGTATTATCTTTAAGTCTACTTACAAAAAAGCATAAGACTTTTGCGAAAGATAGCAGAAGCCTTTCCACAGGTAATAAATTTCTTAATTTTTAGAAATATAATGTTCGATTGAAAGAAGTCTATTATTTGTGTAATATTGGAATCGATTTTAGAATGTTAAAGCCTAGCAAAAGAAATGTTTCATAGCCCGATTCTACACTTGATATTACAAACTAACAGAGTAGCAAAAATTCAAAGAAAATCAAATGATTTAGATGCGGAACAGTTTTGCATCCTCAAGTTAATTAGTAGCTTTTACATTTCCCTATCAATTTTAAGACACATTTCAAAAAAAAAATAATCTTTTAAAAGTATTTTTCGCTTTGTTTTGAATATTTATTAAAATAAAAGATTTATATATTAATCTTGACTGAACTCCTGACCAAACTAATAGCCCCGAATACCGAATCCATCCATAATTTGTTGAACATGATTAGTGTTTAAATATAAATCTTTTGAAGGACACTTAGTTTTCAGCATAAATATCCCGCCATTGGCTTTATCCAATTAAGTATATTTGGTTAATGCCAATTCAGGGTAGAGATCAAATGTAGCCCGAAACTTGCACATGAAAATATTTACGGCTTGCAATATTCTCAGTCGAACGGGCAATTATTTGGTTAAAATTGAATTATTCCATTGAGTTTTGTAAATATATGACAATCCGTTATTTAAACTAAAACCTGAGCTTGCGGTTGTGGAAGGTTTACAAATTCGGTTCGAATTTGCTTCCCTGATAAAAACACTTAATTTAATTTGTTTCTTTGGCAACAAAACTAAAGAACAATTTTTGAGAAAATTGTAAAATTTTTTAAATCGATACGATTTTTAAACGGAAATAAGTTTTGCTTTTTGATTTTACGGAGAGAATATTTAATTATATTTATAATTATATCTGATCATGACTTATAGTAAAAGCCGCTTAATTATTAAAATAAATCCCCGTAAAACAACCTACTTTCAATATTAATTATAATTGGAAATTTACTTATGGTCTCTAGGAAAAGTTACTTGTAAGAATAAAAACAAACATTTTTTTTAAAATAATAACTCTTGAAATATAAAAACTTACCCGATCTTCTGGCCTTTTGTCCTTTAACTTTTCTTCCATGGATTGGTTCTTTCTCGTTAAGTTGTACAGTTTCTTTGAATTAATTTCTGGATGCAACCTTTTATTGAATATCTCGAAAATTAATTTGAGATCGGAATCTGTAAAATATTTAGATTAATAAATTGTATAAAAATCGAATGCTGTAAATGTTAAATAGGGTTTCCCTTTCTAACACTTTTTACCTTAAATTTCAGTGCTAAGAAATATCCTCACGTGTCCCGAACGCCGGAATATAGCCACTCGACCGTGGGCAGCGATTATCCGGAGCATGGTGTCTATCTGTCCGACGGACGATTGCTGCACGATAGCCCCAGCGATGGTATCTACCATGTGAGGCAGGGCAGCGAGCACTCCTCGCCCAGCTTACACTCACCAGCCATACAGAGCGCCGGCTACGACAATGAGCACTCGATGAACGAGGCGGCGCTCTCGGTGCACAGTCACAGCCACTCGCCGATGGTGTCCAGTGCGTACAGTGTGGGCGGAAGCACCTCCTCATTGATCAGCAGCAATATACCCCTGCTGGGAGGAGGCGGCAGCTCTGTGCTGAATAAGTTCTTGTCGCATCCGCATGGCAGCATGGTGGGGGGGGCTCAGGATGAGTGCGGCGGTGCCTCGCACTCACCAATTGAGCCGGCGTCCATGTGGAGCTATGATTACAAGGGCGACATATGCGCGCCCAATTGCGGCTATCTGGACCGGCACAAGGCGATGGCCAGCGATTTGAAGTACAGACCAGGCGGTAACCAGTCAAAAAGTGCCAAAGAGTCGCGCATCCGCCGGCCAATGAACGCGTTCATGGTGTGGGCTAAGATCGAGCGCAAGAAGCTGGCCGACGAGAATCCCGACCTGCATAATGCGGATCTCAGCAAGATGTTGGGTAAGTACACAGCTTACTCGGGTTGCTAAACACCTCCATCTAATGCCACTGTTTCCACCCTCCAGGCAAAAAGTGGCGCTCCTTGACGCCACAGGATCGTCGACCGTATGTGGAGGAGGCGGAGCGCCTGCGCGTCATACACATGACAGAGCACCCGAACTACAAGTACCGGCCCAGGCGACGAAAGCAGTCCAAGCTGCGCACCCTGCAGCCGGGCAAGGAGCAGCAGCAGAGTGAATTGTCCTCGCAAACAGGCGCAGCGGGGTCGTCCAAGACAACGCCCAAGCTTTCGACGCCGCCCCTGGCGACGGCTACCAGCGCCAGCTATAATACGCCCACCGACGACAGCCGCAACTCCACGCCCCATAATGTGGGCGGGCTGTACGAGCAGCCGCTGAAGCCAAGCTACTCGCCCAGCTCCGTGGATTGCTACAGCAATGCGGACAGCACGGAGCAAATTGAATCTCTGGCTGCCAGCTGCAATGAATCCTCTCCAGTCCCAACAAATACCAGCTACGACAGCTCACTGCTGTTAAAGAAGTTAACAAAGCCGCCGACGCCTTCAAGTCGTGCCAGCAAGCAGCGCAACGAGAAGCACTCCAAGGCAGAAGAAAAGTCCAAGGCACAGCAGCAGCAGCAACAGCAGCAATCAACGAGCCTGTATGCCTCATATCCACTGACCAGCTCCGTGGCTGTGGTTGCAGCGCGCGGCATGTACGTGACGTGCAACAATCGCGGACTGCTGGATCATGGGCACTCTGTGAAGGGCACCTTCTATCCGCCAGTGTCCAGCGCTGATGATGATGCCAGCTGCAACTCAATGCGAGGCAGCAATTCCCTGCAGCAGCAGCACTGCAACACCAGCTCCAGCATTTGCCCAACCAGCTCCAGTGCGTCGAATGTGATGGCTGGCGTCAGCGAGCAGCTGAGCAGCTACACGGTGGCCATGGCTGAGAGCAACAACGCCGGCAGCCTGCGGCTGAGCATGAACGAGCTGGGCGCCGTCTCCAATGATTATCTGTCGGGCGTGAATGCCAATGCATATGGCATGCAGTATGAGGATTTTCTGCGTTACCAGACCAACGAGATGGACTACGATCAGCTCAAGGAGACAACGGACAACGGTGCACAGAAGTGCGCCAAATATCCGGATACCAATCAGAACTATGATGATTACGAGGCGGAGGCCTATAACAATGCCATGTTGCTGGCGGCGCCAGCGCCGCCTAGTGGCACCAGCTACTACACCCAGTTGCCCTATCCGCTAACCAGTAGCGCCTGCACGCCCAGCGGCCTGACCGCCTTTCCGCTGCAGCTGGCGGTGCCGTTCCAGCAGGCCTCAGCGCCAGGTGGGGCAGCTGCCTACGGGCAGCCCATGCAAAGCAGCTACCTACACTATGGCAGCTACTATGAGGCCAATGGAGCAGGAGCACAGCTGCTGCCACAGCAGACGCCAGCAGCGCCACCAGCAGCGCAGACAGGCGCGGGTCCTGCGGCAATGACCATGCAGCATCATCCGCATCCACACGCCCATCATCATCATCATCACTTTGCGGCCAATGGTGCCGCCAGCTCTGCTCCTGGCATGGTGGGTGTTGGCGTGGGCGTGGGCGTCGGCGAGATGCTCTTCGAGCAGCAGCAGCATCCGCAACAACAGCAGCAGCTCCAGCGCAAGGATGATGAGATTAGCAATATCCTGGCGGGAGTGCGCAAAACCTGCTACAGCAATTGACGAATCCGGACGCAATTGCATCTGGTTTGCTGGCTAAGTTTTAAAATACTTGCGCAGCTCCTGAAGTTTGTTATATTTGAATGTAGAGTTTAGCGCTTGGTTTACGGTACGCATAAGTATTGCCTCCCGCTCCCCCGTTCTTTATTAAAGTGTACGATATTTAGAGTTTTTCTATTATTATTCAATCATATGAAATATGTTAAACTTAAGTTAGTTTGCATTGAAATAAAATCAAATTCGCTATGAATACGTGCCGCGTTTTAATTTCCGAACCTGTTGTGAAACTGTAAATTTGCCAGTCGCCAGGGCTGCCACATGTGCGGCATATGTACCAAGGCTGCCACTTTAAACAAAAATGCTGTACCAAGGAAACGTACCTAAACCTAATGGTAAATTAATTTTTATTCGTGCACAAGAATCCTTTTGAATTTCAATTATTTTTAGTTAATAATAAATTTTTACTCAAATCTCGAATTTTTAAACTGAAACAACATATAAAATGTCATCAGATTTTACCTAAGAGCAGTGAACAAACGATGTACCATTTTATAACGAACAAGGTACTGTGTACTATTTAAAAACTGGTACAGTTGGTACATTTGTACCAAATGGGCAGCCTTTCAAATGGTACATATAAAATTCAAATTCAAGTGGCAACTTTGCGAATGACACCTGACTCTGTTCCACCAATATACACAGCATCTGCCAGCCAGCTAGCGACTGCGCAGTGGTCCACTGGAGCAGATTGTACGGGGATAAAGAGGAAAAGAAATTTTCTTTTCTTGCTGTGGGGTTCGCTGAAGGGCTGCAGGATTTGCCTTAAACGTTACATAAAATTTCAATAATAATTTCATTTTAAATTAATTCCGAGCTAGACAAGAATGCAGCTATTGCGGCCACGCCTCCAGTTCCAGTTGCAGTTCGAGTTAAGCTAAGTGAGCAAAGATGTGTAAAATTCAGAAAAACGCATTCGCATAGGGCGCCAATTTGTGCGCTGTATATAAGAAAATTTGCTTAAAAGAAATTTCCAAAAGAATTAATTTCCAAAAAAAATTCAGTTGTTCTTTTTAGTTAAATGTGTCTTAAGTTAAGTTCGTCTATGTGAATAATCAGAAATTCAACGGCCGTAATTCGACAAAATTTCAACATTCAGACAAAATCGATAAGCTTCAGCATCCGTACAATTCGCACTACTTGATAGCCACAGAGGGGGCCGCCGTCATCCACCCAAGCACCAACCACCCAACCACCACACACCAGGGCCACCAGCATTCGCATTAACCACCCCACCAGATAGTATTCGCTCGTAATCGCCATCAACATGTCATTCATAACGAAATTGAAAGCGACACCCATGCCACCGATGCCACCATTGAAGAACATACTCAATGTGGCCATGCAAACGGCCAGACAGCAATTTCCAGAGCGCAAGGATTACCAGCAGCCACCTGGGACGAGCAGCAGCCATCCGCAGCAGAGTCAAGGTCACGGCATGTTGCCGCCAGCCGATGCGAATGCCGTTGGCGGCGATCAGCCCACAGAGATGAGCTCGAATCCCTTTCGCAATGCCAGCAGCTGGTCAAACGAGGAGGCCGATGGGGACTACAAAACCGAATACCAGAGCACATCCTTTGTGGGCAATGAATACGATGGCAGATATCAGCAGGCCGATGGATTCAGGTATGTCACCGAGTCAAATGATTAAATTTAAATGATGCAGTTGCTCATGGTTTCTCCGCTTTGCAGGCAGGGCAGCATCGCCTCGGAGGCCAGCTCATTTGTGTGCGAGGGTGAAGGTGGCGGCGGCTCCAAGATCGACGAGTTCCAGGCTGCCTGGAACGTAACAAATGCCATTCAGGGCATGTTCATCGTATCGCTGCCATTTGCCGTGCTCCATGGCGGCTACTGGGCCATCATTGCCATGGTTGGCATTGCGCACATCTGCTGCTACACGGGCAAAGTGCTGGTGCAGTGCCTATACGAGCCGGATCCCAGCACCGGTCAGATGGTGCGCGTACGGGACAGCTATGTGTCCATTGCCAAGGTATGCTTCGGTCCCAAGCTGGGCGCTCGTGCCGTCAGCCTTGCCCAGCTGATTGAGCTGCTGATGACCTGCATATTGTATGTGGTTGTCTGCGGGGATCTGTTGGCGGGCACCTATCCGCAGGGCTCATTCGATTCACGCTCCTGGATGCTCTTCGTGGGCATCTTTCTGCTGCCCATGGGTTTCCTCAAGTCGCTCAAAATGGTATCCACGCTGTCCTTCTGGTGCACCATGTCGCATATTGTGATCAATGCCGTCATCCTGGGCTATTGTCTGCTCCAGATTGGCGACTGGGGCTGGTCCAAGGTGCGCTGGAGCATTGACATGGAAAACTTTCCCATTTCCCTGGGCGTCATTGTCTTCTCCTACACCTCTCAGATCTTTTTGCCCACTCTGGAGGGCAATATGATCGATCGCTCCAAGTTCAACTGGATGCTCGACTGGTCGCACATAGCCGCCGCGATATTTAAGGCTGGCTTCGGTTACATCTGTTTCCTCACCTTCCAGAACGACACGCAGCAGGTGATAACTAACAATTTACACTCGCAAGGCTTTAAGGGCATGGTCAACTTTTTCCTGGTCATCAAGGCCATTCTCAGCTATCCATTGCCCTACTATGCCGCCTGCGAGCTACTGGAGCGCAACTTCTTCCGTGGTCCGCCGAAGACCAAATTTCCGACCATTTGGAATCTGGACGGTGAACTGAAAGTGTGGGGCCTGGGCTTCCGCGTGGGCGTCATTCTCTCCACCATACTTATGGCCATATTTATACCACACTTTTCGATACTAATGGGTTTCATTGGCAGCTTCACGGGCACCATGTTAAGCTTTATTTGGCCCTGTTACTTCCACATCAAGATCAAGGGCCATTTGCTCGATCAGAAGGAAATGGCCAGAGACTACGTCATAATTGGGCTGGGTGTGCTCTTTGGGGTTATAGGCATCTATGATTCCGGCAATGCCCTGATCAATGCATTCGAGATCGGTCTTCCATTTTAAATGTTTTACTCCAATTGTTACAAAACCTTTTTATAGATTAGTTAACGAAAGCTCTAATCAAACTGGGTACTACGAATACCAAGATATATATATATACATATATTTGTTGGGTTTGTGGCCTGTATTTTTGGCAAGTCTTCCAAAACTATCGAGTTGTCAAAAAAATGCCAGATGCAGTCCACGATAAAGAAACGTGTAACAATAAACCTAGTCTATAAGAAATGAAACGCAAGTCTTCCAAAACAAGCGAACAAATGTCTTCCAAACATTGAAATATATATAATATAAAAATCCTAAGCTAATTTAAGTAACGAGTATCTAAAGAGATTATATAGAGGGGGCAAAAAAAAACCAACTTCCAAATGAAAACAATAAACCATTATACAAATCGAAATGTATGTAAATCTATTACCAAAAAATAGATAGAACTCATTGATTATTTATACACCAGCATATAGTATATATACATATATAGTTGAAAACGTTTTTTTAAACGATATTAATTATACAGTTACTGTACTTATACATACGATAATAGCCTCTAAAAAACGACACTAGCATCTTTTAAAAATTCTTAAATAAAACCATCATCTCACGTTGAACAAGTACTCCTTTTTTTTGGAAAAAATGATATGCTCTTTATTTGTTAATCTTAAATTTGAATATTTTGTTTTTCGTTTTCAGGTAGTTAGATATTGTATAAAAAAATATTGTCATGGAAACTTAGGCGCTATGTGTGATATGTTATGAAGACAAGACAAGACAAACGATACGTACAGACGATTTCATGTATTATTCAGTTAGAGGTTTTATAAAATTTATGATCGTGAGTACTTCTGGTATGTTGGAATGCACCTTGTTTAATCTTATGCACAGCACAGGTTGTTGTTGGGGCAGTTATATATTCGCTCTTGTAGAGACTGGAGCCGGTAAACTTGTCGTTGCCCAGACTAATCGAGGATTGATTGCCACGACGTGAGGTCACAATCCGTTCGCTCTGACCATGGGCATTATAGGGGGATGAGGAGGATGCAAAATCGATGCCACTGGACAAATGCTGGCTACCACCGCCGCGATGACGTGTTACATGACGCTCACTCTGAGATTGGGATGGGAAATCAATGCCGCCCGATGCATATGTGCGTGTGATCGTCGATCTCTCCAAGTTCGATCTGTTCGTATCAGCACCCGATATAATGCGCGACATGGATGAGGAAGACGAGGAGGTTTTCACTTGATGTTCCTTATTCTCCTTGTGTATGCTGCAACTGCGACGATCCGTGGCGTAGCCAGTATTCAAATCCGATTCTCGATTCTGACGATGGATGCTACTATAGCTCTGGCGATCACTCGAATGGGCATTACTGCTCGGAACCTGCTCGTGTAGGTTCAGGATACTCTTGCGCTGCATTTTGCCGTTAGAGGTTAGACTGCCGTTTACCGCACTCGAGTCGGTTGTCACGTTCTTGCGATGGAATACCGAGTTGGACACATCGGCCTCCGAGGAAAACTCGCTCTTCCTGTGATGGAAATGCTTCGAAGAGCTCACCTGGGAGGTTGAACTGCTGCTTGTGTTGTTGGTCACCGAGCTGCTGCCACCGACCACATGAGACGTGGATCCGTTGCTGACATTATTGGTAGCTGTGTTGCCTGAGACTATATGGGATGTTGATCCTCCAGTTTCAGTTGCATTCTTGGTAACTAGCCTGCCTGAGACTATATGAGCTGTAGATCCTCCAGTTTCGGTCACGTTCCTGGTAACTGTCCTGCCCGAGACTGTGTGAGCTGTTGACCCTCCAGATGTTGTCAAGTTGTTGGTATCTGTTCTGCCTGATGAAACTATATGATGTGTTGTGCCTCCAGTTTCGGTCACGTTGTTGGTCGACGTGCCACCTTGGTTGGTTCGTCTTGTGGTTGTAGAGGTCTGGAGAGCACTGCTGTCATCCGTTGAGCCACGGATTTGCTCTGTTTTGAGTGCAGTTTTCTCCACCACATTGAGATTTCTTTGCATCGACGTTGTTTCCTTGTGTACGTTTTGTGTGTTTTCGATATTTGTTGTGGTCGTATTTTTGGACACATTCTCAATAACATTTATTTTAGCTGGTCGCTTCACATATTCGGTTTCTGGCTCCTTTTTGGATCGGCCACCGACAACAGTTGTGACCTTTTTCGTTGAAACAATAATCAGGCCATCTACTGGGGCTTGGCTGTTGGAATCCACTTGCTTTATTGCATCCTTGCCGGATACAAAGTTCATCTGGTTCGTTGTCTTTAGAATTGTGGTATCACTACCCAAGCTGAAGGATGAAGTGTTGTGCTTGTATTTCTGTGTACGCTGAACTCTGTCGACGGCGGTTTTGTTGGTGGTTGATTTGTAATCATCTTTTCTAGTCACTGTCATGGTACCTTCTAATTTTAAATTATCTACCGGTCGCTTCGCAGGCTCTCTCTTAGCGTTCTCTATTAGCGTTGTGCTATCGGTTTCAGTTCTATCAGTTCTTTTGTAAAATTCACCTTCTGTTTTCAAGTTGTCCTTAGGTTTCTTTTGAATTGGCCGTTCCGCTGGCTTGAAGGTCGTTTTCTCGGGCGCATAGAATTCTCCTTCAGACCTTAAGTTATCGCTTGGCTTTACTTGTTCGGGTCTTCTGACGTGACGATAGTCTTCCTTTTTAGTGAACGTCATGGAACCCTCGGTCTTTAAGTTGTCCTTTCTTATAATTGTTTTTACCTTTTCAGCTGGTTTAAATGATTCTTTTTCTGGAATATACATTTGACCCTCAGGCTTTAGGTTATCCACATGTCTCTTTTGCTCAGGTCGATCTGCTGGCTGGTATTTGGGTTTTTCCGGAGTGTACATAACACCTTCCAAAGGTTTTAAATTATCTTGCGGTTTCTTCTGCTTAGGTCTTTCAACAGGCCTATACCCAGGTTTTTCTGGAGTATAGAATTCGCCCTCTGGTTTCAGGTTATCCTCTGGTCTGACTTGAGATGGACGTTCGCCAGGACGGAACTTCGGCTTTTCGGGACTGTAGAATTCGCCTTCGGGCTTAAGATTATCCGTCGGCTTCACCTGCTCAGGACGAACAACATATTGATACTCTTTCTTTTCGACAAACGTCATTTCACCCTCGGAACGCAAGTTATCCTTGCGGATGATTCTTTCTGTTTTCTCAGCTGGCCGGAACACTTGCTTTTCTGGCGCAACAAACTCGCCCTCAGGCTTAAGATTGTCCACGGGCCTCTTTTGAACTGGCCGCTCAGCTGGTCTATATCCAGGTTTATCGGGAGTGTAGAACTCGCCCTCTGGTTTCAGGTTATCCTCTGGTCTGACTTGAGATGGACGTTCACCAGGACGGAACTTCGGCTTTTCGGGACTGTAGAATTTGCCTTCGGGCTTAAGATTATCCGTCGGCTTCACCTGCTCAGGACGAACAACATATTGATACTTTTTCTTTTCGACAAACGTCATTTCACCCTCGGAACGCAAGTTATCCTTTTGGATGATTCTTTCTGTTTTCTCAGCCGGCCGGAATACTTGCTTTTCTGGCGCAACAAACTCGCCCTCCGGTTTAAGATTGTCCACGGGCCTCTTTTGAACTGGCCGCTCTGCTGGTCTATATCCAGGTTTATCCGGAGTGTAAAAGTCGCCCTCTGGTTTCAGGTTATCCTCTGGTCTGACTTGAGATGGACGCTCACCTGGGCGGTACTTCGGCTTTTCTGGACTATAAAATTCGCCTTCAGGCTTAAGATTATCCGTAGGCCTAACCTGCTCTGGACGCTCGGCTGGTCTATATCCAGGCTTATCGGGAGTGTAGAACTCGCCCTCTGATTTCAGGTTATCTTCTGGTCTGACTTGAGATGGACGCTCACCTGGGCGGTACTTCGGCTTCTCGGGACTGTAGAATTCGCCTTCAGGCTTCAGATTATCCGTAGGCCTAACCTGCTCTGGACGCTCTGCTGGCCTATATCCAGGTTTATCGGGAGTGTAGAATTGGCCCTCTGGCTTCAGGTTATCTTCTGGTCTGACTTGAGATGGACGCTCACCTGGGCGGTACTTCGGCTTTTCGGGACTGTAGAATTCGCCTTCAGGCTTAAGATTATTCGTAGGTCTAACCTGCTCTGGACGCTCGGCTGGTCTATATCCAGGTTTATCGGGAGTGTAGAACTCGCCTTCAGGCTTAAGATTATCTGTCGGCTTAACCTGTTCAGGACGAACTACATACTGATATTCTTCCTTCCCCACAAATGTCATTTCCCCTTCGGTACGTAAGTTATCCTTTCGGATGATTCTTTCTGTTTTCTCAGCTGGCCGGAACACTTGCTTTTCTGGCGCAGCAAACTCGCCCTCAGGTTTAAGATTATCCACGGGCCTCTTTTGAAGTGGACGCTCTGCTGGTCTATATCCAGGTTTATCGGGAGTGTAGAACTCGCCCTCTGGTTTTAGGTTATCTTCTGGTCTGACTTGAGATGGACGCTCACCTGGGCGGTACTTCGGCTTTTCTGGACTATAAAATTCGCCTTCAGGCTTAAGATTATCCGTGGGCCTAACCTGCTCTGGACGCTCGGCTGGTCTATATCCAGGTTTATCGGGAGTGTAGAACTCGCCCTCTGGTTTCAGGTTATCTTCTGGTCTGACTTGAGATGGACGCTCACCTGGGCGGTACTTCAGCTTTTCCGGGCTGTAGAATTCGCCTTCAGGCTTAAGATTATCCGTAGGCCTAACCTGCTCTGGACGTTCGGCAGGCCTGTATCCTGGTTTGTCGGGAGTGTAGAAATCGCCTTCAGGCTTCAGATTATCCGTAGGCCTAACCTGCTCTGGACGCTCGGCTGGCCTATATCCAGGTTTATCGGGAGTGTAGAACTCGCCCTCTGGCTTCAGGTTATCTTCTGGTCTGACTTGAGATGGACGCTCACCTGGGCGGTACTTCGGCTTTTCGGGACTGTAGAATTCGCCTTCAGGCTTGAGATTATCCGTAGGCCTAACCTGCTCTGGACGTTCGGCTGGCCTATATCCAGGTTTATCGGGAGTGTAGAACTCGCCTTCAGGCTTAAGATTATCTGTCGGCTTAACCTGTTCAGGACGAACTACATACTGATATTCTTCCTTCTCGACAAATGTCATTTCCCCTTCGGTACGTAAGTTATCCTTTCGGATGATTCTTTCTGTTTTCTCAGCTGGCCGGAACACTTGCTTTTCTGGCGCAGTAAACTCGCCCTCAGGTTTAAGATTATCCACGGGCCTCTTTTGAACTGGACGCTCTGCTGGTCTGTATCCAGGTTTATCGGGAGTGTAGAACTCGCCCTCTGGTTTCAGGTTATCCTCTGGTCTGACTTGAGATGGACGCTCACCTGGGCGGTACTTTGGCTTTTCGGGACTGTAGAATTCGCCTTCAGGCTTAAGATTATCCGTAGGCCTAACCTGCTCTGGACGCTCGGCTGGTCTATATCCAGGTTTATCGGGAGTGTAGAACTCGCCCTCTGGTTTCAGGTTATCTTCTGGTCTGACTTGAGATGGACGCTCACCTGGGTGGTACTTCGGCTTTTCGGGACTGTAGAATTCGCCTTCAGGCTTAAGATTATCCGTAGGCCTAACCTGCTTTGGACGTTCGGCAGGCCTGTATCCTGGTTTGTCGGGAGTGTAGAAATCGCCTTCAGGCTTCAGATTATCCGTAGGCCTAACCTGCTCTGGACGCTCGGCTGGCCTATATCCAGGTTTATCGGGAGTGTAGAACTCGCCCTCTGGCTTCAGGTTATCTTCTGGTCTGACTTGAGATGGACGCTCACCTGGGCGGTACTTCGGCTTTTCGGGACTGTAGAACTCGCCTTCAGGCTTAAGATTATCTGTAGGCTTTACCTGTTCAGGACGAACTACATACTGATATTCTTCCTTCTCCACAAATGTCATTTCCCCTTCGGTACGTAAGTTATCCTTTCGGATGATTCTTTCTGTTTTCTCAGCTGGCCGGAACACTTGTTTTTCTGGCGCAGTAAACTCGCCCTCAGGTTTAAGATTATCCACGGGCCTCTTTTGAACTGGACGCTCTGCTGGTCTGTATCCAGGTTTATCGGGAGTGTAGAGCTCGCCCGCTGGTTTCAGGTTATCCTCTGGTCTGACTTGAGATGGACGCTCACCTGGGCGGTACTTTGGCTTTTCGGGACTGTAGAATTCGCCTTCAGGCTTAAGATTATCCGTAGGCCTAACCTGCTCTGGACGCTCGGCTGGTCTATATCCAGGTTTATCGGGAGTGTAGAACTCGCCCTCTGGTTTCAGGTTATCTTCTGGTCTTACTTGAGATGGACGCTCACCTGGGCGGTACTTCGGCTTTTCGGGACTGTAGAATTCGCCTTCAGGCTTAAGATTATCCGTAGGCCTAACCTGCTCTGGACGTTCGGCAGGCCTGTATCCTGGTTTGTCGGGAGTGTAGAAATCGCCTTCAGGCTTCAGATTATCCGTAGGCCTAACCTGCTCTGGACGCTCGGCTGGCCTATATCCAGGTTTATCGGGAGTGTAGAACTCGCCCTCTGGCTTCAGGTTATCTTCTGGTCTGACTTGAGATGGACGCTCACCTGGGCGGTACTTCGGCTTTTCGGGACTGTAGAAGTCGCCTTCAGGCTTAAGATTATCTGTAGGCCTAACCTGCTCAGGACGCTCAGCTGGCCTGTATCCAGGTTTATCGGGAGTGTAGAACTCGCCTTCAGGCTTAAGATTATCTGTCGGCTTAACCTGTTCAGGACGAACTACATACTGATATTCTTCTTTCTCCACAAATGTCATTTCCCCTTCGGTACGTAAGTTATCCTTTCGGATGATTCTTTCTGTTTTCTCAGCTGGCCGGAACACTTGCTTTTCTGGCGCAGTAAACTCGCCCTCGGGTTTAAGATTATCCACGGGCCTCTTTTGAACTGGACGCTCTGCTGGTCTGTATCCAGGTTTATCGGGAGTGTAGAACTCGCCCTCTGGCTTCAGGTTATCCTCTGGTCTGACTTGAGATGGACGCTCACCTGGGCGGTACTTTGGCTTTTCGGGACTGTAGAATTCGCCTTCAGGCTTAAGATTATCCGTAGGCCTAACCTGCTCTGGACGCTCGGCTGGTCTATATCCAGGTTTATCGGGAGTGTAGAACTCGCCCTCTGGTTTCAGGTTATCTTCTGGTCTGACTTGAGATGGACGCTCACCTGGGCGGTACTTCGGCTTTTCGGGACTGTAGAATTCGCCTTCAGGCTTAAGATTATCCGTAGGCCTAACCTGCTCAGGACGCTCAGCTGGCCTGTATCCAGGTTTATCGGGAGTGTAGAACTCGCCTTCAGGCTTAAGATTATCTGTCGGCTTAACCTGTTCAGGACGAACGACATACTGATATTCTTCCTTCTCCACAAATGTCATTTCCCCTTCGGTATGTAAGTTATCCTTTCGGATGATTCTTTCTGTTTTCTCAGCTGGCCGGAATACTTGCTTTTCTGGCGCAGTAAACTCGCCCTCAGGTTTAAGATTATCCACGGGCCTCTTTTGAACTGGACGCTCTGCTGGTCTGTATCCAGGTTTATCGGGAGTGTAGAAGTCGCCCTCTGGTTTCAGGTTATCCTCTGGTCTGACTTGAGATGGACGCTCACCTGGACGGTACTTTGGCTTTTCGGGACTGTAGAATTCGCCTTCAGGCTTAAGATTATCCGCAGGCCTAACCTGCTCTGGACGTTCGGCTGGTCTATATCCAGGTTTATCCGGAGTGTAGAACTCGCCCTCTGGTTTCAGGTTATCCTCTGGTCTGACTTGAGATGGACGCTCACCTGGGCGGTACTTCGGCTTCTCGGGACTGTAGAATTCGCCTTCAGGCTTCAGATTATCCGTGGGCCTAACCTGCTCAGGACGTTCGGCTGGCCTGTATCCAGGTTTATCGGGAGTGTAGAAATCGCCTTCAGGCTTAAGATTATCCGTAGGCCTAACCTGCTCTGGACGCTCGGCTGGTCTATATCCAGGTTTATCGGGGGTGTAGAACTCGCCCTCTGGTTTCAGGTTATCCTCTGGTCTGACTTGAGATGGACGCTCACCTGGGCGGTACTTCGGCTTTTCGGGACTGTAGAATTCGCCTTCAGGCTTAAGATTATCCGTAGGCCTAACCTGCTCTGGACGTTCGGCTGGTCTATATCCAGGTTTATCCGGAGTGTAGAACTCGCCCTCTGGTTTCAGGTTATCCTCTGGTCTGACTTGAGATGGACGCTCACCTGGGCGGTACTTTGGCTTCTCGGGACTGTAGAATTCGCCTTCAGGCTTAAGATTATCCGTAGGCCTAACCTGCTCTGGACGTTCGGCTGGTTTGTATCCAGGTTTATCGGGGGTGTAGAACTCGCCCTCTGGTTTCAGGTTATCCTCTGGTCTGACCTGGGATGGACGCTCACCTGGGCGGTACTTTGGCTTTTCAGGACTGTAGAACTCGCCTTCAGGCTTAAGATTATCTGTCGGCTTAACCTGTTCAGGACGAACTACATACTGATATTCTTCCTTCTCCACAAATGTCATTTCCCCTTCGGTACGTAAGTTATCCTTTCGGATGATTCTTTCTGTTTTCTCAGCTGGCCGGAATACTTGCTTTTCTGGCGCAACAAACTCGCCCTCAGGTTTAAGATTATCCACGGGCCTCTTTTGAACTGGCCGCTCTGCTGGTCTATATCCAGGTTTATCCGGAGTGTAAAAGTCGCCCTCTGGTTTCAGGTTATCCTCTGGTCTGACTTGAGATGGACGCTCACCTGGGCGGTACTTTGGCTTCTCGGGACTGTAGAATTCGCCTTCAGGCTTAAGATTATCCGTAGGCCTAACCTGTTCTGGACGTTCGGCTGGCCTGTATCCAGGTTTATCGGGAGTGTAGAAATCGCCTTCAGGCTTCAGATTATCCGTAGGCCTAACCTGCTCTGGACGCTCGGCTGGCCTATATCCAGGTTTATCGGGAGTGTAGAACTCGCCCTCTGGTTTCAGGTTATCCTCTGGTCTGACTTGAGATGGACGCTCACCTGGGCGGTACTTCGGCTTTTCGGGACTGTAGAATTCGCCTTCAGGCTTAAGATTATCCGTAGGCCTAACCTGCTCTGGACGTTCGGCTGGCCTGTATCCAGGCTTATCGGGAGTGTAGAAATCGCCCTCAGGTTTCAGGTTATCCTCTGGTCTGACTTGCGATGGACGCTCACCAGGGCGAAACTTCGGCTTTTCTGGACTGTAGAATTCACCTTCAGGCTTAAGATTATCTGTCGGCTTAACCTGTTCAGGACGAACCACATACTGATACTCTTCCTTCTCCACAAATGTCATTTCCCCTTCGGTACGTAAGTTATCTTTTCTGATAACCCTTTCCGTTTTCTCAGCTGGCCGGAACACTTGTTTTTCAGGTGCAACAAACTCGCCCTCAGGCTTAAGATTGTCCACAGGTCTCTTTTGAACTGGCCGCTCTGCGGGACGGTATCCAGGTTTATCGGGGGTGTAGAACTCGCCCTCTGGTTTCAAGTTATCCTCTGGTCTGACTTGAGATGGACGCTCACCTGGGCGGTACTTTGGCTTTTCGGGACTGTAGAATTCGCCTTCAGGCTTAAGATTATCCGTAGGCCTAACCTGCTCTGGACGTTCGGCTGGTCTATATCCAGGTTTATCCGGAGTGTAGAACTCGCCCTCTGGTTTCAGGTTATCCTCTGGTCTGACTTGAGATGGACGCTCACCAGGACGAAACTTCGGCTTATCTGGACTGTAGAATTCACCTTCAGGCTTAAGATTATCTGTCGGCTTAACCTGCTCAGGACGAACCACATACTGATACTCTTCCTTCTCCACAAATGTCATTTCCCCTTCGGTTCGCAGGTTATCTTTTCTGATCACCCTTTCCGTTTTCTCAGCTGGCCGGAAAACTTGTTTTTCAGGTGTAACGAACTCGCCCTCAGGCTTAAGATTGTCCACAGGTTTCTTTTGAGTTGGCCGTTCAGCGGGTTTATATCCAGGCTTATCTGGAGTGTAAAATTCGCCTTCGGGCTTTAAATTATCTTCTGGCCTGACTTGCGATGGACGCTCAGCAGGGCGGAATTCGGTTTTTTCTGGACTATAAAAGTCCCCTTCCGGCTTTAAGTTGTCCGCGTGTCGCACTTGGCTTGGGCGATCTCCCGGCTGATATTTAGGCTTTTCAGGACTGAAAAATTCGCCCTCTGGCTTCAGATTGTCTGTAGGTTTAACGTATCCAGGACGTGTGACGTATTGATATTCCTCTTTTTCGACAAATGTCATTTCTCCATCCATACGTAGATTATCTGTGTGTATAATTTTTTCGCGTCTTTCGCCGGGCTTGTAAGGCTCTTTTTGTGGAACTAAAAACTCTCCTTCGGGTTTTAGATTGTCTTCTGGTTTTTTTATCACTATATAATCTACAAATATGTCTTCGGTTTTCTTAGGAATGTTATCGTCTTTCTTAGACCATGTGTTAGTACGTATCCTTGTAAAACTTTCGTCGACGTTATCTAAAGAAATGAACATTTGATTAATAAACTAACACAGTTGCTAAATAACTTCATGGCACTCACCATCTATTTCAACAATTGTATTTTCTGTAGATTTCGTTGTGCTGGTAGAGCAATGATGACGCCTAAAGGAGAGAGAAACCTTGGTACACAACCTTTGACTTGGATAGTAAATTGCTTACCCGCAAGTACATATTTCACAGATGCACCTCTCACTGTGTGTTGTTGTTTTCTTGTTTTTATCGACTCCACGCTAGAAAAAATACATAATCCAATTAATTAATTAAGATTAATTATGATTTTAAAGTCGAGCTACTTACGGTTCTTGAATCGTCTAAGCGTTTCTTATCGGTGCGCACATAATCGATTTCATCATAAATATTCTCGGTAATATTTTTGTGTTTCGATGTCTCGTTCAGATTCAGCGTAATATTCTCATTGTTCTCCGATATTGATGTATTCTTCTCAATTTCGACAAACTCATCCACATATATGGTCTTCTTGGGTGTCTCCACAATTTTCTCAATGACATCCGTGTGCACCTTCTCGTCCAGCACACGCCAATCATTAATGCTCGCATCAAATATCTGAATTAAAGCATTATAATTAATAGAACGACTTGTCCAAAACATCCCCCAATGGAGGTACACAACCCAGCCCTCGGCTAGTCCACTCACCTTTGTCACCTCTGTGGTGGTCGTTATGTTGGCCACATCGGTATTATCTTTCTCGATTTCGCGGGCAATGTCATTGGGCACAAAAGCTTTCGTATCAGTGTACGATTTCTCGTCCACGATTGTCCATTTTCCAAGCTTTGTGTCGTACACCTTGGTCGTGTATGTTGTGGTTGTTGTATTGATGACATCATCAACTATTTCGGGATAGCCCACATCGTTGACGCTATCCACGGTCCGTTCATCCACCACGCGCCATCGATTGTTGCGCTTGTCATATATCTTCTTCTTATACGTTATTTGGGTGGTGCCATCGGAATCCTTGCTCACATAACGCTCAAACGTGGGCACCTTCTTGTTGCTGGCAACCGTGCCGCCATCGCTATACTCGCTCCAGGTCTTCGTCTTCACATCGTACACCTCCTTTTTGGAGGCAGACGTCGACTGCTTTGTGCTGCTGCGCTTCAGTGTGCTCTCCTCGCTGCTGACCTGCTTGCTACTGGACTTGGTCGACGATGACGTTGCTCTGTCCACATCGAAGCTAACAGCTGTTGTGCTGCTGGCCAGCTTATCGAGCGAGGCATTCAATTTAGTTGATGACGTCGTGCCGTTTGTTGTGGTCGCGACCGGTTCGCGCGACGTCATCGTTGTCGATGACGAATCCGCGGAGACACCCACAGCTGTTCGCAGCTTCGACTTTGGCACGCTCTGAGATTCGCTGGTGCTCGTGTTGGTTATGTTTGTGTTGGTATTGGTGATGTTTGTGTTTGTGTTGGTGTTGGTGCTATCTGTGACAACCTGTTCGGCCACATCAACATATTTACTGCTCGACGACTGCTGGGATGATGTCATACCGGTAGCGGCTCTCTCGCTTGCAATGAGCGTTTCGCTGGCATCGCTGCGCTGTTGGCTGGAACTGGTTGTGGACTCGAAGTAACTGGAGCTGCTTGCCTCCTGGCGGCTACTGGACATTTTTGATGTGGACGCATACATTTTGGATATGCTGCCAGCGCTGGCGGACGTTATAATGCCAGGAGTTGTGATTTCGACCACCTCAATGGGCACCGAGAAGACCGGTTCCTTTTTCTCACTCTCCAGCAGATCAATTGACGAGATGATCTTCTCGTTTGAGTAATCCTTGGAGATTTTGGCACTGCTCGTGCTGCTGCTGCTAAATAGCTCCGACTGCTTGGACTGTGATTGCGTTTGACTTTTCGCCTTGTACGAACTGTAGCTTGTCCCACCGGCTGCCAGCAGACTTTCACCTTCCCGCTGCACCTTGATGGCGGCGGGGGTGCTGCTGCTGCTGGTGGCAGGCGCCCCACCGTACGAGACAGATTCATGCTCCATTGACGTCGAGCTGGTGTTAGTTGTTAATGTTGCCGTCGCATTCGGTCCCAGTTTTTTGGTCAATTTCGTCGCTGAGGCCGACGCCGATGTGGTTGTGCTTGATGTGTCTAGCGGCGGTTGCTGCGACGGCGACTGCGACGACGACTGCGACTGCGACTGCGACTTCGATGCCTGCGACACTTGTTTTGTTTTATTGCTTTTTGATACCATTTTGTTAGCTTGATTTTCACACAGATGAGGTAATCACTGACTTTGTGGAATGAATAATGTTGCAGTTGCTTATGTATGTATGTATATTAATTGTTATTTAATTTTTGTTCGTATCTCGTTATTGTTGTTGCTATTAATCACAATTATCGCTTGGTTTGTCACTCAATTTTTTAGCTATAAGTATAAATGGGGTGTTTATTAATGTGTGCGGTGTCTCATAATTTCCACCGGGAATGTCGAAATACTTATTTTTAAATAATGTATTTATTATACTTGCACGACAAACAGACACACACACACACACATGCGTACAAATATATGCGCGAGCCACAGTTCAAGTTGAAAATGACAAACGGTGGCACTGGCGCACGCACACATAAGCATACACACGCACACACAAAAAAAACGGTGCGACGTAACGGGCGACACTCGAACGTGTGAGCGATTGTGCACCACAGGAGTGGGAGCGGGAGCGTAAGCACAGACAAACATACACACACACAAGCACTTAGACAAGATAGAGACACAGACGTTTTATTCGCTTAGATGCTCAATTGGGCAGATTCGTGCATATTTCGTATTCGTTGGAGCACTTGAGAAAGATCAGCAACCGTCGCGAAGCACAACTCAAAACGTACTGATCGGCGCTGCGGTTGTCTGGAACCGCTTTCGACCGTATCTGTTGCGCTCTGCCAGCCAAAAAAGCGGCAGCGCAGCAGCAGCGTTCGTGGGCTTTGCTCCATCGCGTTGGCAGCTAAGCACGCGTGCGTGCGAGCGAGCGAGAGGCACAGTGCGCGCAGAGCTTCGCCTTCGCAAAAAGCCTGGCCAGATCGGAGCTGCTCGCGTAGGTTGCCATTTGAGTTGCGCGCGTGTGTGTGTGTGTGGTTAGAGAGTAAAATGCGTAGGCTAAGCGCTGCTGAGACGGCACCTTCTTTTTTTATTGCCACGCAGCGAGTTCAATAAGCCAATAAAAACAATATGAAAACAAGAAAATTGCTCATTTCGAAAGTGGCCACAAACAAACCAAAACAAACAGCTGCTTTTTTTATTACAGCTTCTCTCTCACACACGCCGGCCCGAGCTGAGCATCTTTGAATGTGTCAACGGATCTCCAGAACGGCCCAAAAAATTAGCGCTCATACCAAAATTGGCCGGATTAATGACAATCGTTGTATTTGTCCGGCGGATGGATGCACAATTAAAATATAAATATATGTATCAGATATGTACATATAGTATGTACATATATCGATTAGTCAGCTTTGCATTTACTTTGCATGTCTGGCTCGATGGATACGTGGGCGCATCCGTGCCTAAAAAGCGACTGAATAAGCTCAGACTAGATTTCTCAAATATACTCTACAATATGCATTCGCGAGAACTGATGCTGAATTTTATTGCTCAATTGATTTATAACGGCCTTAGGTGGGTGTTACTCAAAATTATGCTACAACTTGTTGTGCCCATAAAAAGAGCTTTCAGCTCGCAGACTAACCTTTATTTAAGTACATATATAATATTCTATGGAAGTTTAAACAATTCGACCTCCAAAATGCAGCGTAGACAGACACACAGTTAAATCTTAACAAGAAAACTAAATTCAATTGTTGCTTAACTCATAGCGACAGTCAGCTTATGACGTCATCAGCCAAGACTCATTTTTTTATGCGAAGCTCTCGAGCAATCAAAACTTGTTTGCCGCGCCGAGGCACACACACACACACACACGCACACAAAAAGACTTAAAAAAATAACAAAAATAGATATTAAAAAGAGCAACAAAAAAATAACAATTAAGTGGCAAACAAAAGTCGCACTGTGGTTAAAAAAAATACAACAAATAAATAAAAACATTTGAAATTCAAAGCACAGTCGCACAATTCGACCCGAATTCGCCAAATAGATTAATGGCAAATGTGGCACATGGCATGCACAACTGCAGCCAGTTGGAATTTGGTGCATTCGCCAATTTAGAATATTCCGAATAATCAGTTGGGAGTTGGCTGTTTTTTTTTTCTTATTTTGGAGGGATGATGACATCTTTTGCCATGTCACGGACTTTTCCTTGGAATTGAATTTGAAATTCGGAATTGCGAAGGCAAACACGAAAATTTATACGCCACTTGTGCAAGCACAATTAATTTTAATTTAATGCTCAAGAAAATGAACAACTGAAAAAATACAATAAATAAAAAAGAAGACATGCCGATATCAAGGTAGCCCATGTCGGGGCCCTTATATGGGGTTGCATGCCAAAAATAAGATCCCAAAATTTTTGGTCCTTCAGCTTGTCAGGCAATGCACTTTTAGGGCACAATTGCATGCATGAATATTTTGCAGGCCCTCGATAAGGTCTGCCGCTCCAGTGATGTAATCACAGCCAGAGCCTCACGTAATTGTACAATAATTCATACTACATGATATAGCTTTGTATATAAAAAACATAAACAATTAACAAACTATTGAAATTATGAATGAGATGTGACGACTTTTGGCGGATATTGAGGGCTATGCATGTTAAATGTTTGATATGTACGTGCTTTAGTCGTTCCATAGGGGCCATATGGTCAAATCGTTTTAGTTTTTTCTTTTTTGGTAAGTATGTTCGTGACTTCATGTAAAAACAACGCTAATTATTTTTTGCATTAAGTCAAAATGATTACGAATAGGTAGCAAGCGCCTGAAAGGCAAATAGTAGGCTTAGCTATACCCTGTAAACTCTATATAAACTCGTGTAGTTATCAAGCGATTGCCACGAAACTCTCAGAATAGTTGGTAAATATGCTCAAATATATCCACACCAAATATCTTAACAATTGCTTCACATTTGTGAAAGTTATCTGATTTTTTAATAATTCAGATACTCTAGTTTCTTAATGGACCAATGAACCTTGAGATACAATATATTTAGGTATATTTGCAATTCTCCATATTTATCAATTAACCCTTTCACAACTGGTTTATACCATGTTAACTGGTTTAATGGGTATTGGCAATAAAAAATGCTAAACATTTTCGCTTTATCGCACAACAAACCGAAGCTACACACATTTTTACTATGTATGGGTATTTGTATCTTATCTAGCTGGGAATTCAACATGTATTAGGCTGAGTAAAATTCCTGAGAATGTTATATATGAACATATTAGACTAGAAGAGAACTGGCTTGGCTAACCTGTTTACTTATTACCTAACAATAAAACGCTTTAAGTAGCTGCCCAGTTTGGCTTTCCGGAGAAGAGTACGAACTCAGATCAAACCCAACCGCCGGCTGATTCACAATTCCAATGCACAATTCCATTGGCTCGCAATTGTTCGTTCTGTTTGTTTGTTTAATCAGCCAATCTATAAATAAATTATTAAAGCATTTGCAAGCAGCTCAGCATTTTTCATTTTTGGCAACAATTATTACTGTAGAAAGTGAGACCTTTGTTATCTGATGAATTTAACCCATTTGCTTAATGGTTTATTTTGTTGCCAATTTGCAATTATGTATGAAAATGTTTAACAAACTGATAGATACTACCAAAATATTTGGAAGATCCAACATCAACTTGATTATGGACTTCTAGTGGAGAACAATCCAATAAGAATCAGAATCCCAAACTTTGATATGCTAAGCTTTAGTGAATTAGGATAATATAGGTAATCAGGATATTGAGAGATGTTTCCGTACTAGTTTTGGCACACTACATAAATTAAGGATATCTTGAAAACTTATTATTTAATAACAAGAAATTATGTTCATTTTCTTTCAAAATGTCAAATCAAGTCAAAATCTCCAAAAGAACTTTAAAATCAAAAGTATACAACTTAGTACTTAATTACATTTCCTTTCAAAAATGAAACGAATCAAACAATAAACAAAAAAAAAAACTAGTTCAATTGATATGAAAAACCAGATTCACGAGCTAAACCGAACCGAACCGTTCAGCGAACCAGGCGCAACTCCATTTTTGACAAAAAAAAAAGAAAATATATAGTACTAGTATAGTATAGATAGATAGTACAGCAATTAATTGTACGCTTTTGTAAATAATTACAGTTACATATTCTTTTTTTTATTATTCATAGTCGTATTTTCTTTACCGCTTACATATTAAAATATACGCTTAATATTAGGTTCATCTATTTATCGGATTATGTTATCGATTTACTTGTTGCATTTATTTGAACGCATTCCTAACTTTAAGGTATAAGTTGTTTTCTTTTTGTTTTAAATGTATTTTTACAGTTTTGATAATAAATTTGTTTGTTTGTTGTTGGTTGGTTTCTTTCTTTCTCATTTCATCTCATTGCCACAAAAAGCGTGCATTGATTGATGGAACTGCAACGGCGAACGTGTGGTTGTATGCGTGTGGGCGTGTCTATAAGCTAATTGTTGTTTGCTTTTTAATTTTGCATTATTTACGGTTCGTGTTGTCTATAATTTTGTTACACAACTAAACGTTACTTATCAACTATTTATGCTTCTATATATCTTTTGTTTTTACTTCTACTTTGCTGTCGTATTTCAAGTTTTTCTTTAGTTATTGTGCCAGGCACCTACTACAAGTCGCGCCTGTGGGCGTGGGCGTGGTCGCCCAACCGAACCGGGCTACACTTTAAATATTCATTCTTTTATTTTTAAATTTTTGTTTAGACCTGTTTTGCATTAACTTAAGTTCTAGTTGTTGCACGTTGCAAGTTTTGTTTTGTTTTGTTTTATGTACAAGCTTGAAAATGTTATCTGTGTGTGTGTGTGTGTTTGTGTGTGTTGGACAAACGCCCACGATCACGCCCACAACAACATGATCGAGACGCTGAGTGCTGTTCGCTAATGTACGTATTCATTGTAATTATTATAATAATAATAATAATAATAATAATTGTTAATTAGCGTGCCTAAAACTAAACGTAGTTGTAGTTGTTTTTATGCTTAATATTTATTTCTCTTTTTTAATATGTATACATAGTTTACAATTAGGCGATATATGTTTAGGCATATGCTATATACATACATATATATAGATATTTATTTCAATTTGTATATATATACGTATATATATGTGTGTGTATACATATGTGTGTGTGTGTGTGTGTGTTTGTTGTTTGTTTAAAAAGTTACAATTAAAATGTAATTAGATAAAAACTTTTGCAACTTAGACGAGGTTCTTGTTTTAGATGCGACCAATGCATCACAAAGAAATAATAACAGGATATCTATAGTTACAGTTACAATTGTATTTGATGTACATATGCGTGTGGGTGTGTGGGTGTGTGTGCGTTTGTGTGTGGTGTCTATTAATAGCTAAATGGTAACTAAATTAATAAAACTAAGGGAATCGCTTAACTCTTATATACGCTCCAGGATCTCTCATTCACTTTTAGCTGTTACGTGTGTGTGTGTTAGTGTGTGGGTGTGGCCTGTAAAAGCTGCCCTCTTGATAAGTTCTATATATCTGTATATATATATATCTATATAAGTTTGCTTGTGTGCGTGGGTGGGTGTACATATGTGTGTGTGTGTGTGTGTGTGTGCCTGTGGGGAGCAATCTTTTGCCGCGCAATTGCAATTGCACAAATTGGCTTTGTATATTTACAAAAAGTTACAACAAAAATGCTATAAAATTAACTGCGCTTATCAAATTTAATCAACTGTCTCTCTCCCCCTCCCTCCC